CACCACTTTGTGTCACCGGCCAGGCGTGACTGATAATCACTCAGGGCTGTTTCCAGGATCTTGTGGGTCTCTGGTACTCACAGGTCGCAGCTATTAATCAACTAACGCAGTTGTGTTCCTTATGATTTTATTTTCCGATCCTTGTTCCTGGTTCATTCTGTCAAAATATTGCTTATATTTGCTTTAATTTGGGCTTAAATTACGCTTAGCTTGCAGATATTTGAAATTGTATCTAGGTTTTGATTGGATAATAATAAACATAAATATTATATTTTTGACAGAAAATCGTGTTTTGTTACTATAAATACATAACCAGTTCCAACCTGTTACAGGTGAAACAGTACATTATATTGCTATAAATCATTTAGGTTATGTTAAGTTCTAGACAGAAGATCTTACATCGAGATAATTGTATTACTCATACCTGTAGACACTTGGATTATTATTACATTAATTTATATAAATTATTAATTGATTAATTAATTATAATTACTAATTAATCTGAAAAGCGGGTTGTAACAACCCCCCACACTTGAACTACAGACGCCTCGTCTGTGGTTTAATTTGAAATTTTAAGATAACTTCTTTTTTTTACTGTTTCACATATTTTGTATACAACTACATTCCGGTCGCGCAACACCCCATTAGGTTGACGTGAGCCTGGTTCCGATGAATGTAGTGAAAGACCAGGATGACTTTCATACTCAAGAGTTCATAATTTAAATTTTATGTTGAATGTCAATGTCCAAGGAAATGTCTGTGTGTGTGTGTATCTTGGATATGTGGAACTGCATTTCATCATCAACAGCAGGATCACTTAATCATCCCTCATTGGCTAGCTATGATCAGCATTCACATCCTTCAGCTCCAGGCATCCGCTACAGGCATTATCTGGCATACTTCAGGGATCCCCTGGCATCCGCCTCCTCAGCTGTGAATGTGTCTTCCGACATCTACGAGTCCTCGTCTGATCTTCGTCAGTTCCCCGGCTTGGATGATTAGTGTATTATGTATATAGATTTTATTAGTTATAATAAACAATCACACTTAAATGAATATATAGTGATTATAGTATGATAATGATGATATGTACAATGTATAATTATACGCCTTATTCATAGATGTCACTGTTTTAATCCTTTAAATCCCCGACATCTACCGTACCCTTTGGTACACTTCATCTTATTTGACTCACTAACTCAATATGATACATATATGGTTAAATACGGTAAAGATTAAAAGGTGGATTGGATCGAGTGGATTGGATTCATGTAAAAGGTGGATTGGATCGGGATTCTTCAAAATATGGATTTTCCTTTAAAAATTTACATTGATCTCCCATCAGACGATTAATGCTCTCCTCACTTCCACAATGTCAAATAATAGAAATTATATTATTTTGCTTGGGTAGGCTGGAAAGGTGATCTGATACACAATCTTATTCATTCCAAGGGTAATTTTAGACATTTCACAAATCATAAGGCAGACTTTTGAAGTCGAAGATCCATATCATCTGTTTTCAATTCAAACAGAACATGGCAGAAATGTCTTGGGAACACCCACACGTCAATTTGAATGACAGCTCTTATCTACAGATCTTTGTTTATTATGTCTTTCTAATGTTGATTTACAAGGGAGAGCAGTTGAATACTTTAGAGTATCTATCAACTAATTGAAGATGTATTTGTCATTGCTTTGTCGATTCCTTAAAGGGACCCATGTAATCACAAAATACTTTAGGCCGGAGGAAATTGCTTAGAGGGAGATCAACTAAAAAATCCATATTTTGAAGATTCCCGATCCAATCCACCTTTTACATGAATCCAATCCACTCGATCCAATCCACCTTTTAATCTCTACCTTAAATACGATTATATGTGATTATATAGTGGTTAAATATATGTGAATAAATATATTCAGATCAATTGATTATTTACACCTTAATCAATCAATCAGTTAATATATACGAATAAATAGGTTTTAGATATTGAATATTTACATCTTAATCAAAACGCGATATGCACACGCCCGGTGATTGTGAATATGGGACGGAGGGGGGAGCAGGCAATTTCTGCTAGGAAATTCAACAAATCTGGAAGATTTATTTTTTCTAGAAAAAGTTTACTATTGAATTGCTAAATGGATAGGCGCACGGTATGGAAGAATATATTAGGTTTTCTGGGATTTTTTCTGAAACGATACGCATCTAAGGTATGAGATCTATTAAAAAAGGCGCAAGGCAATCAACAGGGACAAATCAACGTTTTTGCTATAAATCAAGCAACAAATCTTCCAGATTTGTTGAATTTCCTAGCAGAAATTGCCTGCTCCCCCCCCCCCTCCGTCCCATATTCACGATCACCGGGCGTGATGCAACTAGAGGAAGAGTCTCTTCTGCGTACTGAGTTGTTTCCGCCGAAGGGTACCGACTTTCAAACTCGCTGGTACTGCGAACTCATAGGTTATAAGCATTAATAGAGGGGTATTACCTACAAGCATCGAAGCTGCGTTTTTAATATATGTTTAACTCTGCACACAAGGGAAGACTACGCCATCTTTACATCGTATATGATTTAGATAATTTTCAAAATTTTGGCATATGCACTAGTATTTTGGAGATATCTTGATACCTCAGGAATCAACGCCCAGGGACTCATCGAAGGATTTTACTTATGGGTTAAATTTCTTATCACACCACCTGCTATTTGTAGGACGGACATCGTTATAAATTTATTAACCTTCAGGATTTTTAAGTTAGAGGTGAGATTTTCTTTAATTTGGAAACCTGGACACACGACAAAATTCTCAGATGATGAATAATATAATTTGCTTTATTTCGTTTGTAAATGTATGATTTTTGTGATATCAAGTTTCATTTTCTACGATGTAGTCCAAAACGATGGTTTTACTTTTCCTATTTCAATATAGAGCCATTATATTTCCAACAGTCAATAGCAAGTCTTGATGTCCGCTTATAGTTTACATATTGTCTACAAAAATAAAACATGAGTTCCTAGCCCCGAGCTCAAACAGAAGAGTCT